ATGTCTGATGATTTATGTAGCGGATTTTTATTACCGACAATTACAGACATCTTCTGCCACTCAGAGGAAACCACTGCATGTGTCAGAGCGCCGCGTGCGAGTTAAAGAGAAGGCGATGGCTGACAAAACACACGTAATTAGTAAGTCACGTTATTACTTGGATTTTAATCGGTATGTTTTGCATCCAGTGAAAACAAAGATTTTAACAAAAAAACTGGACAATATGGTGGTTTGGGTTAATTTCATGGTTTTAAGTTTGCGCCCCCTTCACTACTGGAGTGCAATGGTCCCATTTCCAAATAAGGTAAGAGACTGACAGTGGTCCGTCCCGCCCCTTCCTGTTTGCTGCAGCGAGGTGGACTTGGTAGAGGGCAGCATGCTTTATTTTATTTTCTAGTGTATGGAGAGGCTTGGTGAGGCACCGAGGCTCGTGTAGCTACAAGAAGACGCTACTCGAGATTTCTTTATTAACCCTTTCAGGCTGAAGCACCAATGAGGTACGCATTTTTGTATTTTAGTTTTGTTTGTAAATGGAATGTTTATTTGAAGAATTTGTCGAGTTTGTTAGTGATGTGTTTTTAAAGATGACGTAATGAGTCTGTTTTTGTAAGTCAAGCCACTTTATTGTAAATGTTTTGCGGTGTAATGGCCAACTTCGTTACTGTACTTAAGTACATTTATCGTGTATCTGTACTTTACTTAAGTAGATTTAATAATGGGTACTTTCTACTTTTACTCCACTACATTTTACAGTAAGTAGCTATCTGTACTTTCTACTTCACTACATTTCTACTAAACTGTCCGTTACTCGTTACATCCAAGTCGCGTTGCGCTTTTTGTCCGTTAAAATGTGAAGTTCAGGGTCTTAAGGTGGCGCCGTAAAATCCAAGCAATAACGTGACTTAGTGTCTGTTGTCACCCATCGCCTCCACCTTAACTCGCACGCGGAGCTCCAGACATGCGCAGTGGTTTCCTCTGAGCGGGAGAAGATGTCTGTCTGATCGTCAGTAATATAATAGCTGCATAAACCATAAGATATGGCGACATGTAAAACCAGCAGCGCTTCGCTTTCACGGTGGGACTTCATCCAACTTTTAGCGTCACTTGAAAGGAAAGCTTAAAGAAAGNCATATATGGGACAACGCTGTGACCAAAGTGCAATATAGTGATATGACATTCAGGAACGATCCGATTCTTCTGGACGGATCTTTACTAAGGTTGATGGGACTGAAGCCTCACTGAGAGCCGTTCTTTGTTCTTGTAATGGTCTGCGTACACTGTACCCCTAAAAGGTTTAGCGGGGTATGCAGTACCTGCAAGAGAGGGGAGCGGCTGTCTGTTGTAAAAAAAAAATCAGTGGGTTCACTGTGCAGGAGTTCACCCACTAATCAGCTGTGACTGATTAGCTTTTCAAGGTCAATCTAAAACACGACTTAATCAGTTAATAAATAACTTTTTCCTATTTCATATTGTTTCTGAACTGTTCGCGCTTTGCTATAGCAGCGGTGCAACACGTCGATCGCGGAAGGTTTTGAGTCGATCTCGGCATTAGGAGACAAACTGAACGTCGCACTGATTGCGTTCCGTAACCAGTGCGCTCAGGTGTCAGCAGAGGCTGATTGAAGCCAGAATAAAAGGAGCCTGGATGGAAGGAGAAGGTGAAGACTGATCCTGTGATTGCCAGAGACGGATGCGCCGCCGAGCGAGGTGCGGAGGGAATCCGCACGCCAGGCGCGCAGCGCTGAGAGCTGGGCCGACGGCTCAGTGCAGAGGATCGGGACAGAAAGGAACCTGGCCGCGCCTCTGGGTCAGTCTGAAAAGGGGCGTGGCACGCCGAAGAGCGGAACGTGCTGGAGCGTCGCAGAGTCAGCTGGGGATCGGCAGGGGAGCACATTTTAGACGGATCACCTTCACTTGGAGCAGCGCGATAAGTGGAACCCAACTGATGGCCTCCGATTGGTGACTTTCTTTTAAGGACAATTACTGAACTTTGGATTTTATTAAAAAGAAAATGACTTTTTATTGTCACTACTAAAAGTGACTTTCTTTGTAATAAAATATTTCAAATTTGATTGTTTTGCTGTTTGGGTTTTTGAGTTGTTTGCTCCCCCTTGTACCAAGAACGAAGTGTGGGGCCATATTGGTCACATGGACACTTAATTTTATTGTGTCATGTAGGCGGGGTGCTGGTCTTGGTCTTGATTTGGTCTCAGGTTCGGTGGTCTAGACTACAACTCTGCTACGTGGCTCCTTGGTTCCATGTTCTCCCCTGCCAGTTATATTTCTTTCAAAATAAAAGCCAGTAGTGGCAAAAAAAGTGAAGTTCATGCTATGTTAGGACAGGAGACACGATGTTTCCATCCCTGAAATTATGATGCATAGAATCACATATCTAAGTCTAAACTATGTTACAGAGTAAACATAATAAAAAAATGCTTTATCTGTGGCATTGTTCATTAAGATGGCACATTTCTAATGTATTAAAATTAAATACGATTGGTTCACTTAATGATATTAGTGATTAGGTAATGTACTTTTACTTTTAATACTTAAGTATTTTTAAAAGCTAGTACTTTTTTACTTTTACTTAAGTACAAATGTTAATGTGGTACTTTTACTTTTACTTGAGTACATTTTTTGAGTACTTTCTCCACCACTGGTAGTCACTGTCTATTCTCTATGTGAACGTCTTTCTTTCTGTAAAAGTGTATTTTGTGTTTTGTACAGCTCTCACAGCATAGTTATTAAATGCCAGTAACTGTTGAAGAACGCCTTGTGTCCATTTTCTACCTGGAGGGAGTTAAAGAGACCATCAAGTAGTCTTGAGACTGTTGGAAATATTAGTTTAATTATGCTAGTTTTAATGGTGTTTAACTTTAGCGCTTGTTGAAATATTAGATGGATCCTGATTGTTTTGAGTCGGCCTCAATTTAGGTTAGATTTGTGCGGTTCAGTTTTAAAGGATGAGAAACACGGGTGGCTGATAAACTTGGTCCTGCTTTCTTGAGTATTTTAAATTTTTTCTAAGGTTATTGAGCTAAAACAGCCAATCAGATCACTGGGCGGAACTCTAACTGCCACACTTAGTGATCTTCCAAGGCACGTCTTCGTAATTTGCATTTTTTATTAAGGTAATTAATGTTTCCCTTCTGGCTTTGGTTTCATGTTGAGCTGTTGGTCTGATTTTATGCATTTGATTATTTGAATAAATTCTGGTTGATTGTGAAGTTGAACAGTGACTGTTGTCTTTGTGGTTTCACTTTTACACACATCACCTGGGGAGACGAGATGGCAACGAGCAACAGGTAGAAAATGTATCGTCTCTCAACAAGACCAAGACCCGTCTCAGGTACTGCACTAGTTAATTTAGCTAAATCTGGCTGGAAAATACTACCAGCCCTTTCAGGTGTAAGTAGCCACAAAATCAGCTTTTCATGCTGATAAACTGTCTAAATATGTTATGTAGGATTCTCTGCATGTTTCTAATTCAAACTTTGACATTTTCATGTAAAGTAGTTTAGTTCCGCAATATTTTGCCTGAAACCGTCTGAGTGCTGCCCTCCTTAGATTAATCGGTGGTACTGCAGTTGAATATTGCTATTGTTTAAAACAGTCCAACTTTACATTCTTCAGCACTGGTCCATCTCTGACGCCCCCTGGTGGCCATTAAAATCTCCAACAACAGAAAAGATGGTTTATTGATAAAAAAAAATCTGTAGAGGGTCTGAAAAGTCTCTGATTATTGTGATAAAGTGGAGAGGATGGCAGCAGAGCTTCTTTCCTCCTAACCCACTCACTGCCTCCTCTGTCTCCACGTTTGGCAACGCCCCTAAGTGACTCTAGGCTCCGCCCACTTTGGTGGAATTATACTTTCACATGGGGGTTAGTCCTGGTCTGTGATTCTGTGCCCTGGTTCCCTAGAAAATGAGGGAATCACCATAGCAACCAGTGACGGCATGCTCTCTGGTTTGGTCTCTGCACCTGAACCAGATGCTGGTGACCCCTGTGACCTCTGTGACGTTGGTGAATTTTTCAGCAGACACTGAGACGAGTGAATTTAATGACTTTATTTCTTATTGTGACACAAATCAAAGTTTCTCCACAGACGGACGAGTCAGCATAGCAACAAGCTGAAGGTACGGGAACATCGACAACCAGCAACCAATCACAGAGCTGAGAAGCTGTTGCCACGGTCACAAACACTGTTCATCACATGTGCATTTGTCCTAACAGAGGGAACCTGTCAACTACTCTCGTTGTTTT